CCGTACTTGGTCTCAGAAGTCCTGAGTTACGTGTAGAGTAAAAAGGTTAAGACCGTGATGGGGGTTTTGATGGTCAAAGGAGGGTCATTGTTGGTGGAATAATCGAGGTGTCACGACGTAGTTCGTGACAATTTATCCCCATCAAGCGGGTTGCTCAACATGTCTACGGAATAAACTAGAAAGCGCAAACGTGGGAAAGATTGCTCAGCAAGCAGACTGAATTACTACTTTGGGAAAGTGGAGGCAGGCACTGAATGTTCCGGACTATGGATGATTGCTCAGCAATCAACCAGAGTTACTACTTTGGGAAGGTGGAGGCAGGCACAGAATGTTCCAGAGTGTGGAGGCTTGATAAGCAAGTGGAGGTAAAGGTGGAGGCAAGGGTGGAAGGTTCCAGCATGTGGAGGTGGAGGTGGAGGTATTCAGGCGTATGCGTTTCAAGTGTCTGATTGCGCAAAAGCACTTTGACAAGTGGCAGATAGGTGATGTATGACATGTTTTCACGAGGCTATCCTGACAACCGGTTGATCGGTTGATCCTGTGGTTGACCCGGTGACTGATCCTGTGATTGATCCTGTGATTGATCCTGTGATTGATCCTGTGATTGATCCTGTGATTGATCCGGCGAACCATTTGATTGGTAACCGAGGGAGTCGTACTACCGTTGACAGACGTACGTACTCTCCTATGACGTCAGTGGCGTGATCGCTAATCAAGGTACCCTCAATTGATCGCTAATTAAGGTACCTGTGATTGATCACTAATTGAGGTACCCGTAATTGATGGCTAATTAAGGCACAAATTAGTAATTAAGGAATTGATGGCTAATTATCAATCATTGATGATTCTGTTGTTTGTTGATTGGGACGGGTTCATATAGAGAAATAGATGCTGACCGGCCATCCAGCTAATATTGCTCCCGAGGTACCCTCACTTATCAGTTTGTCCGGTCTGAGCGGAACCGAGGGCAAGGAACCTGGTACATGTTGGCCGGAGCTTGAGATGACGACAGATGACGATAGATGACGATAGATGACGATAGATGACGACAGATGAGGTGTGTCACGAACTACGTCGTGACACCTCAATTATTCCACCAACAATGACCCTCCTTTGACCATCAAAACCCCTATCACGTCTTAACCTCTTCACTCTACACGTAACTCAAGGACATTTGAGACCAACTACGGCAAAGTACAACGGGAGAATAAGGTGTACAGGGGTCTGGAGCATAAGGACAGCGAAGTACGGCAAAGTTAGACAGAGTTAGGCTAAGTAGGGACAATGGAAGCAGAAGTACGGCGAAGTTAGACGGAGTTAGGCTAGGTAGGGACAATGAGAGCAGAA